GAGAAAAATAATATTACTATGGAGAGAGGATAATAAAAGAATTATGACGACAAAAAATAACGATTGACATTGCATTTAAAATTTTGAAGATTAAAGAAGCCAGAAGAGAGTTCAACGAGTAAAATTATGAGACCTTACCGCCAATCCAGTACTGCATTTAAATTCATAAAAATGTCTTAAAATATTATTCATTCTTTTATCTTATTTTGGAAGCCATTCATTCTTTGTGTTTTCGTAATTTCTTTTCTTCTTTCTCTCTGTGGCGACATGGAATCATTGTCCTGTCGAACAGTATTCTGTCTTGGTTTCCGTACATTCATAAATGGAGGCGCGGATGGTGAATTAGGCGTTTCGAGTTCAATCCCCGATTCAGTTTCGAAACTATGTGTTAATTATTAAGACTTACATCACTAAATCATTATTACCTCAAAAAAAAAAAAATCTTACGATATAAAAATATTTGGGGGGGGTGGCAGAGTACTGCGTAACAGGAGGATTTCTATGGTGACAAAGAAGAGAGTACTGAGCTATTACGTGAAATCTCTCCTATACGGTAGCGAATGTTGGACGGTATCCTCAAGGATGAAGAAGAAACTCGAAGCGGCGGAGATGTGGTTCTGAGGATGCTGAGAATATCATGGACTGAGCATGTGAGCAACGATAAGATCTTGGAGACGTTGCAAACAAGAAGGAAGCTCATGCTTAACATAAGGAAGAGGCAGATAAAATCTCTGCGAGACGTCATGAGAAAGGAGCGTCTGGAGAATCTGATACTCACGGGACGAATAGAGGAAAAAAGAGAGAGGGGAAAGCAGCGTATGACATATGTGGCAGGCTTGAGCAGGTGGATGGCAGGGCGTGTTCTGGGGGAGTTGGCAGAAACACAAAACCTGTTGAGAGCCACAAGGGATAGGGGGAAGTGGAGGGCCATGAACGCCAAAGTCCTGAAAGGAGACGCCATATAAAAGAAAGAATGCCTCTAAACCGAAACTTCTCTCATTTACCCACCATAGAGAATCCTTCTTGCCTCCCATAAGAATGGCTGATGCCCAAGTACATGAGGGCGAATATCGGCGCCTTCTTGGTCTTACGCTGTCCACTGACCTGAAGAAAGTTGGTTCTGTGTAGCGCCAGAAGGTTTTTTCTCGTCGGTGCCCATCCTTCAAAACTAGAAATCAACCATTCGTCCTTGCATTCTTATAATTACTCTCCTTGTTATAATTACTCTCCTTGTTATAATTACTCTCCTTATTACAATTACTCTCCTTGTTATAATTACTCTCCTTATTACAATTACTCTCCTTATTACAATTACTCTCCTTGTTACAATTACTCTCCTTGTTATAATTACTCTCCTTATTACAATTACTCTCCTTATTACAATTACTCTCCTTGTTATAATTACTCTCCTTATTACAATTACTCTCCTTATTATAATTACTCTCCATATTATAATTACTCTCCTCTCCTTGTTATAATTACTCTCCTTATTACAATTACTCTCCTTGTTACAATTACTCTCCTTGTTATAATTACTCTCCTTGTTACAATTACTCTCCTTGTTATAATTACTCTCCTTGTTATAATTACTCTCCTTATTACAATTACTCTCCTTGTTATAATTACTCTCCTTGTTATAATTACTCTCCTTATTATAATTACTCTCCTTGTTATAATTACTCTCCTTGTTATAATTACTCTCCTTATTATAATTACTCCTTATTCCTCTCCTTGTTATAATTACTCTCCTTATTACAATTACTCTCCTTGTTATAATTACTCTCCTTGTTATAATTACTCTCCTTATAATTACTCTCCTTGTTATAATTACTCTCCTTATTATAATTACTCTCCTTGTTATTTATCATTGGCGAATGTAACTGGATTCATTCCTTATAATTTTTACTTTGTATCTGTAGCTGTTAATTCTTAGTTCATGCGTAAGGGGGATTAAAGACAGAAATCGTGACAGTGTGTCTCCTTGAAAGATTCCACGTTGGGTATTTAAACAATTGGAAGTGATAGTAGGAGTATTATGATTCACTTGCACTTCTTAACCCACTTAAAATTCTCTTTTGAATTTATTGACTTCCTTTATTACTGAAGACAAATTTTATTTCTTAAATGTTCTTTGACACAGATCATCATTTCGCCTTCTGTAGATTCCAGGTAGCTTTGAAGAGCGATTGTCGTAGGTTTGTTTGACAGTTCTAGTTCTGGTTGAAATATTCCTCTACCTCCTTTGGATCTGGGCACATACAGACGGTCAACATTAGCCTTAGGATGATGAATGCCGTGACAAGTAAGAAGCTTTCTCGTTTTGGCATTCATTTTCTTAATGTCAGTTATGGTCCAATTCAGGATGTTGAAACTGTATCACCCTATAGGGAGAGTTTGTTTATGGCTGATATTCTGTTTTGTGAATTCAAGTCGTTATTTAACACCAGACGAAGACGCCTGTAATATTATTTTCTTACTTTCTTCTTCATTTGGGTATGTTGCATTCCAGCTCTTTCGCTGAGTCGACTCCTAGTTATTTATAGGCTTCTTCTTCTTCTTCTTCTTCTTCTTCTTCTTCTTCTTCTTCTTCTTCTTCTAGTTGCTTAATCTTTGTGACAAAATCTAGATTTATTGAGTGTGTTTCTGTAATTCTCCCCTTTTTAAATGCTACCTTTGCACATTTGTCGAGTCTGAAATCGATATCGATGTCATCAATAAAACATTTTACACTATTGAGCGTACTCTTCAATTTATTATCGTCTTTGACAAAAGGCTTTGAGATCATCCATTTAGAGTAAGTGATTTCTGTTTACTTTGTATTTAAAGCTATTAATTATTTCATGCTTAAGGGGGATTAAGGACAGAAAGCCTAACAGTGTATCTTCTTGTAAGATTCCACGTTGGATATTTAAATAATTGGAAGTAAAAGTCGGAGTATTATGATTCACTTGCACTTCTTCACCCACTTAAAATTCTCTTTTGAATTTATTGATTTCCTTTATTACTGAAGACAGATTTTATTTCTTAAATGTTCTGTAGATTCCAGGTATCTCTGAAGAGCGATTGTCGTAGGTTTGTATGACAGTTCTAGTTCTGGTTGAAATATTCCTCTACCTCCTTCGGTTCTGGGCACATACAGATGGTCAACATTAGCCTTAGGAGGATGAATGCGGTGACAAGTAAGAAGCTTTTTCGTTTTTTGTTTGTTTTTTTTGTTTACCACCAGTCCATATATGGCAGCAGTATATGGTCTGGTGCTCGCGCTGTTCATCTCGAGGTCCTCGACAAAATGCAGAGACGTATATGCAATGGAACTGGTCCTGATCTGGTATCCTCCCTACAATCACTATCTCACAGCCGTGTCTTTTCTACAAGTATTTTCATGACAACTGACCCGACGAGCTACTTTCATTGGTTCCCAAATTGCATGAATTTAAGCGTGCTACTAGTTTGGTATATCGGTCCCACATATTTTCTGTCGAAACGGCTAAATGTAGCCATCTCTTCTGCCCCAACAGCTTCTTATCTCGCACCTCCCTCAGTGGAACCCCTTCCTGTCACTTGCTTTCCAAATAGCTATAATCTTCAAATATTCAAATGTAATGTCAATCGACATCTTCTGATGCCTTCACCTTGATCCCTCTCCTTTTATTTATCCTTTTCCCGAACACTCCTCTTTACTCTTACTCTAACTTTTAGTAAACCCCTTGCATGCTAGTGGCACTAACGCCTTGCTTGGGGTGATTTGGTTAAAAAAAACTTTCCTAAACATAATTATTGTAGAGGTTCATATTAAGTCCCATTTGAATTAATATAGAGATATCTATTTACTCCCGTGAATCACTAAGATAAGTCTTTAAAGTATATAAGTATTATAATTACTCTCCTTATTATAATTGCTCTCCTTATTATAATTACTCTCCTTACTATAATTACTCTCCTTACTATAATTACTCTCCTTATTATAATTACTCTCCTTACTATAATTACTCTCCTTATTATAATTACTCTCCTTACTATAATTACTCTCCTTATTATAATTGCTCTCCTTACTATAATTACTCTCCTTATTATAATTACTCTCCTTACTATAATTACTCTCCTTATTATAATTACTCTCCTTATTATAATTACTCTCCTTACTATAATTGCTCTCCTTATTATAATTACTCTCCTTACTATAATTACTCTCCTTGTTATTTATCATCGGCAAATATAACTGGATTCATTTCTTATTCTTTTTTTTTCTCAAAACTTTTTCATAAAACTCTTAGTATTGATCTTTTTTTTTTCTATTATAATTGCATCCTGCTTTTGTTTTTTTTATTTTCTTTTTAAATTTGGAGACTAAAAGCGGAATAATTTTGAATATAAACAAGAAGCACCCAGAAAGAAAATGTATGCACGATATTTGTCGATTTCGCAATATTTCTAATTTTAATGTCGGATACAGATCACGCGAATGTCAAATTTAGCATCGCAATAAACTAAAACTCAGGGAATTATATAAAATCTACATTAGAACCAAGCTTAACTTTGTGTTTGGTAAACAGGTTTTGGTGCCAGAGCTAATATATAAATATATATATATATATATATATAATATAAATATATAAATGCATCACTGAAACGGCGGTGAGTTTACGACAGCACCTCACTACCCCACACTACACAGCATAGTCATGTGATCTCAAGGTTAGAAAAAGATCTGAGGACATCTAGCAAGCCGGATCTTATTGATATATATATTTTTAATTCTTATCAACCTTTTAAGGTTAATTAAAGCCAAAACATAATTTTGGACTGTAAGAAATGTTTTTGAGATCATAATCATTTTCTGTTAAAATTCTTACTAATTAACCCATAGCTGGGGAAAGGCGATGTGGTGGATTCATACCTTTCCTAAGGCTATTTGCACATAAGTGAATATAACGAACCCAGCTGGAATTCGAACTTGGTTTAGAGCCGTTATCCATCACACCACTCGCACATCCCGCTTATGATATTCGCAGACGGTCACCCATCTAGGTACTGACTTGGTTCAACGTTGCTTAACTTCGGTGATCGGTGACGACAACTGGTATTTTAACGTGATATGGCCGTAAACTATGCCGTGGACTGTATAGACTATTCTAACGTCTGATCAGAAGTCTATGATACAGAAAAAAATTTGAAGCGATATATATATATATATATCATTACGACGAGCAAGGGAAAAGACACAGATAAGGACTGGGGAAAGGAACACGTGACATATTTAATGAGCTTGAGCAAGTTGATAGCGGAACGGGATTTGGGAGAAATATCAAAAAGACAAAACTTATTAAGAGTTACAAAAAACAGGATGATGTGGAGGGCCATGATCGCCTACGTTGTGAAGAGACATATCACATAAATAAAGAAGAAGGAGGAGGAAGATCATTTATGCAAAACACTGATGTTCACTCTGTACAAGGTCCAAGAGCCACTCGAAGTAGAGACTTACAGAATAAGAGGCACAATTTATGGAGATATATGAAGATAACGGTTAAATCTAGACACGAATGGGTTAGGAAGCATCCTCTTGGGAGTCGGTTCCATGAGAAGCGCTTCTTGGGAAGAAGCTGATCGAGAGGAACTAATATCTCACCAATGGGATCCGAAGGCAACGATTGTTTTTCGATAACATATGCCTAGCATGATGGGTCCTTGCCGCGAAGGTTAGAAGAAGTGGAACTAAGGAATGTAATGCGCCTGCGCATTTTCAACGGAAAGAGCGATTTGCTGAAAGTCTTCAAGTGATGTGGCATCTGTTATTTTGGTACTATTCTTGTCTTGTGATTATATAGCACTAGTTCACAAGGTTTTAAGAAGTGGTCTTCACAAAGGCGAATACGGTTCACTCGCTCATAGACATTTTTAACCATTGGTCTTAGAAAGCGGTTGTATACAAATGGTAGAGATATGTTTGAACGGGTTTAGCACAATACATGAATAAGTTATGAAAAGATAGCCGACTTTACATAGCAGTGGTTCGTTGGGGGAACTCAAATCGGCCCAGACCGAACATGTGAGCAATAAAGAGGTTTTGGAGAAAATAATAACAAAAAGGAAACTTATATTAACATCAGGAAGACGCAGCTGAAATTTCTCGCACACGTAATGAGAAAGGAAGGCTTGGAAAATCTGATGCTCATAGGGCAAATAGGAACAGGGGAAACGAACAAGTGACATATTTAGTGAGCTAAGTTGATAGCGGAACAGGGTTTGGGAGAAATAACAAAAAGACAAAACCTATTAAGAGCTACAAAGGACAGGATGATGTGGAGGGCCATAATCGCCTACGTTGTGAAGAGAAACAGCACATAAAAGAAGAAGGAGGAAGATCATTTATGCAAAACAGAAAGAGATGACGCGAGAAGTGAAACTTGAGAGGTGGGGACGTCTGCGCTAATCGCTTGGGACTCGGGTGACACTCCCTGTTAACAACGGCGTTTATGTACAAACTCCTTTACGTTCACTCTCTGCTACCGTTCACTCTTTGCTCTCATTTTGACCTTTTTCCATTCTTTCTTTATTAACGTATTTATTTAGGCGCTAGGCCCACTAAGGATGTCCCCAGGGCATATGCCCTGATTCTTTCAGGCGGTAAACTCTCATTATCATCCCTCACTGCGGCTTTTCGATGTTCCTCCAGGCGTCATGGTATACTTTTATATTCTTTGACATAACTGCAGGAAACGGTGTACAATCAGTTCTTGGTTATGTTTATTGCTCCTACAACGTGTTACGGAGAGAATCCTCCGCAAAGTGGAGCTTGTGTTTGAATATTGTTCCTGCAGTGTACAAATCATATTTCAATATTCTTAACTGATATTAGGAGAATCAATGCCAAAACGCGAAAGCTTCTTACTTGTCACCGCATTCATCAACCTAAGGCAAATGTTGATCGCCTGTATGTGCCCAGATCCGAAGGAGGTAGAGGAATAGTTCAACCAGAATCGCTCTTGAAAAAACCTGGAAACTACGGAAGGTGAGATGATGATCTGTGTCAAAGAACATTTAAGAAATAAAATCTGTCTTCAGTTATAAAAGAAGTCAATAAATTCAAAAGAGAATTTTAAGTGGGTTAAGAAGTGCAAGTGAATCATAATACTCCGACTTTTACTTCCAATTATTTCAATATCCAACGTGGAATCTTTCAAGAAGACACACTGTTAGGCTTACTGTCCTTAATCCCCCTTAAGCATGAACTAATTAATAGCTATAAATACAAAGTAAACAAGAAATCACTTACTCTAAATGGATGATCTCAAAGCCTTTTCTCAAAGACGATAATAAATTGAAGGGTACGCTCAATAATGTAAAATGTTTTATTGATGGCATCGATATCGATTTCAGACTCGACAAATGTGGAAAAATTTAAAAAGGGAGAATTTAAAACACTCAATAAATACAGAAACACACTCAATAAATCTAGATTTTGAAGACAAAGAAGAAGAAGAAGAAGAAGAAGAAGAAGAAGAAGAAGAAGAAGCCTATAAATAACTAGGAGTCGACTCGGCGAAAGAGCTAGAATGCAACATACCCAAATGAAGAAGGAAGTAAGAAAAAATAATATTACAGGCGTCTTCGTCTGGTGTTAAATAACGACTTGAATTCACAAAACAGAATATCAGCCATAAACAAACTCTCCCTGTAGCGTGATACAGTTTCAACACCCTGAATTGGACCATAACTGACATTAAGAAAATGGATGCCAAAACGAGAAAGCTTCTTACTTGTCACGGCATTCATCAACCTAAGGCTAATGTTGATCGCCTATAATTGCCCAGATCCGAAGGAGGTAGAGGAATAGTTCAACCAGAACTAGAACTGTCATAGAAACCTACGACAATCTCTCTTCAGAGATACCTGGAATCTACAGAAGGTGTGATGATGATCTGTGTCAAAGAACATTTAAGAAATAAAATCTGTCTTCAGTAATAAAGGAAGCCAACAAATTCAAAAGAGTATTTCAAGAAGTGTGAGTAAACCATAATGCTCCTACCGAAGCGGTAAGAACCTAAAAATTAAAGCAAAAACAAATGCAATGTACCAAATGAAAAAAACAATGGTAGATAAGCTTTTTCATGGTCAGTATTATTCTCGTACCTAACGACCTGATGTAGATAAACCCCGTAGTTGTGTAGTGCAGGGTTAAAAGCTGAAATCTAAGGTTAATTCTTGCTGTGCTGAACCAATGCTTGATAACGAGAAATTCCCAATTATAAATACTGAAAAAATGTGTTGACCATAAATTCAGAAAGCAAATTTGTATCAAGTTGCATTGTGTTAGCACCAAAGTTATATAAACCCCGGCATGATAGAGTGGGCCAATATCTGCACTGGAAAATATGCAACTTTTACGGGAAGGAAACCGGTATGAACATCACCCAGAACCGGTTACAGAGAGAGGACCTCTAACAATTTTATGGGGCTTTAGAGTACACAAGTACAGAAAAATCGAAGACATCGTGATTAGAGACCGCAAAGACTAAATGTATCTCCCGTATGGATATGGAAGTTCCTGCAGAAAGCAATGTGATATGTCCCGGAAAGGGATATATTTGTTCGAAGTAGCTAAGTGGTTTTTAGACTACTGTAACCGGGTAGGAAAATCTAGCAGGTAACAGTAATGGACTGGTCCTCGTCGTAGTGGTAGGCAATAGGCGTAGGCAATAGGCAAAGACAATAGGCGTCGTTCCTGTACCTCCACATCAGTCTGTATTTATGGCTGACTCCAGCCAATCATACTACTGTGAGAGGGAATCCAGGTATATGCATATTCATTACATCACAATGTATCTTTGAAGATCTTCAAAAAATATCAAAATACAAGAACCTTGAAATCGAAAAACGTGGCACATGAGGACATCATTAATTCTAGTTGCTGTGGTAGCCATAGGAGTGATTGGAAAAAATTTCTGATAAACTTATTGAAGTGATTCTTGGTAAGCCATGCCTTAAATAAATCCATAAATTGTACTTACAAGTACAGTTCACATAACACGCAGAGGTTATCTATGTAAAATGCGTGAGGTCTTAGTTTTTTTTGGTTTCTTTTCCCAAAACGATCAATAAAAAAATATAATGATGACATTTCTGACCTTAGATTTCTGGTTAGGACCCGGAGAGGAATGTGTATACAACAGAAATGAAAGGAAAGGATAATAATAATAATAATAATAATAATAATAATAAGAAGAAGAAGAAGATAAACTTAAAAACCAATAATATCACCATCAGTTTTTGTGATGATAGTTGAGGAGAAGGTTTTGCAGTTATTTCTGAAGTCTTCTCCAAAGAAAATACATTAGTGTCCCTAGAAGGACTCGTTGTGATCATGGTAGCGATAAGGATGATTGTAAAAGCAATATTGATTTTCGATTACCTGGACGTGAAAGGATTATTGCTGACAACTATGATATTGTTCTACTTATTTGTGTTCGAGCAGTAATGGCGATGGGGGAGGGGAGGATTCGGCCCGTGTCCCTGGAAAACCTGTCAAGCATTCCCCGAGCAGCTGACAGTCCATTAAGATATGTCATCGGGTCCATTTGTACGTAATTCACCTGCCACACAGGAACTAACCACGAGCGGCAATGGGGAGTTAGGAAACTGGTTAGAATGAATATATACGAAGACACACAAACATGATTAATTTTAATGTACCAATACCAACCCTCTACTCGTGTGTAATTTCGATTTGTTAAAGTATTCTCTTGTGTTCTTTATTTGTGTTTCAGCTTGTGTTCCTGCTAAGGTAGAATTTTTTTGTTTAATTTTTTTTCATTATTGTTCGTGTTTGGCTTTATTAATTTTTTTTTTTCATATTTTGATTTGCTTTCAAAGCTTTTAAATGTTGGAGGTCTTTGACAATAGGTTGCTTTCATCCACGACAAGCCATTGGCTCTTTCTTTTACATTCTTTTGGTTGTTCTCCTCGATTATATTTCCATTTTCCTATGAATTCTTTTTCTTTATTTCTTTCTATTTGTCTCCGTTTTTCCTTTTTTTTCCATCTCTTTATTTGTTCCTTGTTTCTTTCTTGCTTTTCAAATGCTTTCTTTTATTACTTAAAATATTTTCTTCTATCTTTTCCCCTCGTTTCCTTTTCATTTGCTACTTTCTTTCTTTCTTTTTTTAATCCCTTTGTTTCTTTATCCTTCTCTTATTTTTTCTTTCCGTTTTCTATCTTTTTTTTAATTTCACTTACTTCTTTCATTTCTTTCTTTTTCCATCTTTTTAATTTGCTTCCTCCTTTCAAATTTTATTATTTCTTTCCTGTTCTGCTTTCATCTTACATTCATTTTATTTTGCATTCTAATTCACGCATTTTAATTTCCGTCTTACAGAAATGAAAGATGTAAGAAAAAACTTACATCTTTTTCTGTTTTAACCTAGAAAGGGTTACTGAATGAGGAACAAACAAAAACGGAGGTTGGAAAATGGAATGGTAATCTTTGTATCATCGATAAAATAAAATACTCGCCAGCGGCGCGAAGTAGGTAAACCACTACTAGTGGTGGCTACTTAGACAGCATATTACCCCCACTTACAATAATGTTCAACATATTTATGATGACTGGGACATACACTTTAGTGTTCACAGGTACGGCATATAACACTATCTATCTATCTATCTATTTATCTATCTATCTAATCTTAATCGCAATTCCGTATCAGTTGTCTTTACTGAAATGTATATATATATATATATATATATATATATATATATATATATATATATATAATATATATATATATATATATATATATATATATATATTGAACAATAAAAAAAATATTAAAAATTAAAATCTTCGGACACACTGGGTTGTAGATTAATATTCTTTCGTCTTTTTTATTATTATTTCATTTAGATTCCTCGACTAGTTTCGGCCAAAATGGCCATCATCAGGCGAAGAAATATTTCTGCTTGCTGATAGCAGTAAACTACAGAAAATATATATATATATATATATATATATATATATATATATATATATATATATATATGTGTGTGTGTGTGTGTGTGTGTGTGTGTGTGTGTGTGTGTGTGTTTGTTGAAACCTAGAAAAGTTACTGAATGAGGAATAACCAAAACGGAGTTTGGAAATAAAATGGTAATCTTTATAACATCAACAAAATAAAATACTCGCCAGCGGCGTGAAGTAGGTAAACCACTGCTAGTCGTGGACTACTTAGACAGCATATTAACCCCAATTACAATAGTGTCCAACGTATTTACAAGGATTGGTGCATACCCATTAGTGTCCATAGGTGCGGTATATAATAGTATCTATCTATCTATCTATCTATCTATCTAATCTTAATCGCAATTCCCTATCAGTTTTCTTTACTGAAATATATATATATATATATATATATATATATATATATATATATATATATATATCATTTCTGATTTTCTTTGGTTTTTGTTTGCTTACGGCCATACCACGTTGAAACACTAATTCCCGTACGGTCACCGAAGTTAAACAACGTGGTGCCTGGTCAGTAACTACATAGGTGACAGCTTTGTAATAGCAGGTGCTGTAAGCTTGGAAGTGCGTGTGGTGCAATGGATAACGGCTCATATTTGGGAATCGAAGAGCCGAGTTCCAATTCCAGTCGTTTTTTTTTATATTCATTTATGCGCAAATATTCCTTAGGAGAGGCATGAATCCTCCTCTTCTGTCAGTTATGTATCAATAAGTGGGACTTCCATTAATAAATTAGCATTATCTTCAAAATTATTCCAACAATCGAAATATATTGCGTCCTGGATATGACGATAAACTACATCGCGCCCTGGGTAAGACGATAAACAAGATCCGCGTCATGGGTGACACGATAAACTACATCTGCGATCTTGGGTAAGACGATAAACTACATCCGCGCCTTGGGTAAGACGATAAACAACATCCGGGCCTTGGGTAAGACGGTAAACTACATCCGCGTCCTGGGTAAGACGATAAACTACATCGGCCTTCTGGGTAAGACGGTAAACTACATCCGTGCCTTGGGTAAGACGGTAAACTACATCCGCGTCCTGGGTAAGACGGTAAACTACATCCGCGCCTTGGGTAAGACGATAAACTACATCCGCATCCCGGGTAAGACGATAAACTACATCCGCCTTCATCATCCGTGGTAAGACGATAAACTGCATCCGCGTCCTGGGTAAGACGGTAAACTAAATCCGTGCCTTGGGTAAGACGATAAACTGCATCCGCATACCTGGTAAGACGATAAACTACATCCTGGGTAAGACGATAAAACCTGGGTAAGACGGTAAACTACATCCGCGCCTTGGGTAAGACGATAAACTACATCCGCATCCCGGGTAAGACGATAAACTACATCCGCCTTCTGGGTAAGACGGTAAACTACATCCGTGCCTTGGGTAAGACGATAAACTGCATCCGCGTCCTGGGTAAGACGATAAACTAAATCCGTGCCTTGGGTAAGACGATAAACTGCATCCGCATACCTGGTAAGACGATAAACTACATCCGCCTTCTGGGTAAGACGATAAACTACATCCCGCCTTGGGTAAGACGCGCATCCGCGTCCTGGTAAGACGATAAACTAAATCCGTGCCTTGGGTAAGACGATAAACCGCATCCGCGTCCTGGTAAGACGATAAACTACATCCGCCTTCTGGGTAAGACGGTAAACTACATCCGTGCCTTGGTAAAGGATAAGACGATAAACGATAAACTAAATGCCGACGATCCCGGGTAAGACGATAAACGATAAACATCCGCCTTCTGGGTAAGACGATAAAACTACATCCGTGCCTTGGGTAAGACGATAAACTGCATCCGCGTCCTGGGTAAGACGATAAACCAAATCCTTGGGTAAGACGATAAACTGCATCCGCATACCTGGTAAGACGATAAACCACATCCGCTGGGTAAGACGGTAACCACATCCGTGCCTGGGTAAGACGATAAACTACATCCGCGTCCTGGGTAAGACGATAAACTAAATCCGTGCCTTGGGTAAGACGATAAACTGCATCCGCATACCTGGTAGACGATAAACTACATCCGCCTCCTGGGTAAGACGGTAAACTTCATCCGCGCATCCCGTCCTGGGTAAGACGATAAACTAAATCCGTGCCTTGGGTAAGACGATAAACCGCATCCGCATACCTGGTAAGACGATACATCCGCCTTCTGGGTAAGACGGTAAACCACATCCGTGCCTTGGGTAAGACGATAAACTGCATCCGCGTCCTGGGTAAGACGATAAACTAAATCCGTGCCTTGGGTAAGACGATAAACTGCATCCGCATACCTGGTAAGACGATAAACTACATCCGCCTTCTGGGTAAGACGGTAAACTACATCCGTGCCTTGGGTAAGACGATAAACTGCATCCGCGTCCTGGGTAAGACGATAAACTAAATCCGTGCCTTGGGTAAGACGATAAACTGCATCCGCATACCTGGTAAGACGATAAACTACATCCGCGCCTTGGGTAAGACTATAAACTACATCCGCGCCTTGGGTAAGACTATAAACTACATCCGCGTCCCGGGTAAGACTATAAACTACATCCGCGTCCCGGGTAAGATGATAAACTATATTCAACAGCACTTCCTCTAATCAGGAGGTTTTGTGGAGCGTGGAAACACCTCTTAATTGGTGGTGTTCACAGGTTCACCCTAACACGGGTTGGTAGCGCATGTTACGGTCCCAGCTGTGAGCGAATAGTTAACCCCCAAACTGGGGTCAAAACGCTATGAAAGTGTAAAATAGGTTTTAATACCAGTAATACATTTTTGTAAAAAATTATTACCAGCAATAAAGGTTGATAAGTCATAATAAACAAATCTGTCCATTTTTTGCTTTCATTTTTTAAAAAAAAAATTTCGCATTTAATTCTTATTTTTAAGCATTTCCCTCCAAGCAAGGCAATAAAGCCACTAAGGCACAAGGGTTCACTGAATGTTAGAGAATAGGAGAAAAACTTCTAGTAAGGAGAGAGAACAATAAAAGAACAGATTTTACGTCGACAGAAGATAGCGATTAGCATTGCATTTAAACATTTGAAGATTTAAGTTGACTGTGAAGCAAGAAGCCGGAACAGAGTTCCGCAAGTGAAATGATAAGACCTAACCACCAATCTAGTACTGCGCTTAAATTCATAAAGTCTATTTACTTTTTTTTGGAGCAGGAAAACTCCGAACCATCCATAAGATATTTGGACTCCGTCAGACTATCTTATATGAGACACACAACTGGCGCTATGGCTACAGTAAATGTGGTTCCTATGCGACCCTAATCTGTTACGGGACATACACATATATCTCGAGAATTTTTAACGTTTAAACAAAAGCCTGTAGAAACATTTGGACTGTTTGAACATTAACTAAAACCCTAGAGTTTAACCTTAATTGAAACTACACTTGGATGCTGAGAACTCTATTTCACATGTCTTGGAGATAGTATTCAACTATATAACAGCTACATAGGCCTATCCCTGATAATTTTAGAATCTTATACGAACGCGGATTGCCCTTTGCGGACACTGCTGGTGAACAAGACAAGAAGTCGCATGTTATCTATGGATCTGGACACCTACCATGGAGCAAAACATGTTGGTCTCCCAGCAACCACTTACATTGACCAGCTATGTTATGACACACTAATAACTTTGATGCAGGACCGTGATAGTTGATGTGAATGTCTTAGTAAGGTCCGAGCCACTACGACCGAATAAAATGAATGCTCTTAATGCATGGACACAAGCAAAAAGATGAATCCAAAATACAATTTATAGGTCGGGGACACTAAAATCAAGCAGGTACAGAAATTTAAATATTTGGGAAGTGTTCTGACAGAGGACGGAAAGCGATACACTGAGATCCGAAGACGTATTAGGATGGCCAAAGATGTATTCGAAAATCAGACTATTACCAGACAGAAAAATTTCGTTGGAAATGAAGCAAAGAGTACTGAACTGCTACGTGATATCTGTCCTCTTGTATAGCAGCGTAAGCTGGAAAAATCTCCTAAGAGATGAAAAAGAGACTTGAAGCAAAAGAAACGTGTTCCTACAGAAAGTTGAGTTCACAGTCATAAAATATAGGTCTTCATTGGAAGGAAAGCAGTGATGTCACCCACACTGGATCTATCATAAAGAGTCAGCGTGTGGAATTAGTAAAAGCCAAAAACTTGATGTACGGATGGTTTGGTTTATTTTGTTTTACGGATTATCAACCCCAATGCGTTATTTAATTCCAACAAGATTTTTAGAAAGCTTCATATGAATAGACTATGTAATCTTTGTAAAAAATCTGTTTGTAGATCAGGTCTCATTGACGTATCTTTGAAAAGAGTATTTTTTGTCGAGAGTCAAATATATTGCTGCTAATATTTTCTTTATACGAAAATGTATTGCTGTTAATATTTTTTTAATGCTTTTCTAGTATAATTTTTGTTCCGTAACTGTGTTGCTGGTATTTTTAATACAATAATTTATTTTATACTTTCATAGTTGGTTGTTAACTATTTGCCCATAGATGGGACACTAACAGGTTGTACCACTTCGGGTTTTGGTGGACCTGAGAACAATAGAGATTAAGAGGTGATTCCACGCACCTCAAAACCTCTCGATTAGAGGCCTTGCTGCCGGATGTAGTTTATCCTCATACCCAGGACATGATTTACGGAAACAGTTATAACAAATTTAGTATAGAAGACAAGGAAGTTAAACATAGAATAGTCTGTACTAGGGGTAGTTTCACCTAATAGCGCAAATTGCTACAAAAAACATTAACTTAAAAAGCATGTCATTTTTCTCTCATAAATATACCTTAATTTACGAACTATATTTTTTTCACATCTACCTCCCCGAAAACAGAGGAGTTTTCTTGTTGCATTTATAACCAGACGCAGTCCAAAGACCATCCAGATTACGCAACCGTCCATTTGCAGACTCTCGGCATTCCGAAAACTCTTTTGCACAGAACAATAATAAGCCGATCAATTATAATGACCCACGTGAAAAGCTTCCACGGTGTTTTGCAATATCCTTTTTACTGTCAGCTGTAAAGATAACATTAACCTTTTTGTCGTTATCATTATTCACAGAATCAGCTGAATGCGTGTTAAACATTCAGTAACATTAAACGTTTGCAATCCTTTCTATTTTACACAAAGAGAAATTCTATGACACTTTGCCTGCTATAAATGCACAGTGGATCAGTAAATTTATAACACGCATTGTGGTTTGGGAAAGAGAAGTTCTCTCCAGATTTATATTATCTTCAATTCTTGATACTTTATGCTTGACAATTAAATAAATATGAATAAAGATAGAACTTCCGACTATTATGTTTAAAATTAGACTATATATATATATATATATATATATATATATATATATATATATATGGTACGATTTCTTGTACCACGGTGATAGTCCAAGGTAGAACCAATAAAGAAGAACTCGAAGGCGGATATGGAATAACACAGATATTTTACAAACAGGAATATATACAGAGAAGTCGAAAATGTTAGTACGAACAATCAGGTTTAGTAGTAA